TGCAGCTGCAGATGATGACAAAGATGAAGACCTAATGCTGAAGCTGAAGAAGCTGTCGGTGCAGGCGAGTGATGAGGACGAGGGTGAAGAACCAGGTATATTTCACGGCCTTTTCATCGAGACGTGCCTTAAGTCTTAAGGTGTTGGGTTGCATTTCATAGTTGAATGGTTTTGCCTTGTTGTTTCGCAGTCGTTGCACCAAGGAAAGTGTCGTTGCCCCAAGGAAAGGAAACAAGAAAAATGAGGTACGTTGTTACAACAAATTCTTTACGTTAACCCATTGACTCGTTGGTAACCATGTCTGTGGTTCTTTTAGGGCGGAAATATCTTTGCTGCTCTCAGTCAGGGCCAAAGTGACGACGACGTGGATGAGGATGATGACGATGATGATAAGCCAGTAAAAAAGGTACATAATTACACAGTACACACAGGGAAAATGTTCACTGAATTAGTCGGGGAAACATTTTTGGGGTCCTTGACGTGGTTATGTCCACATCTCAAAAACATAGGAAATGACTTGATTCATCATTTTGACAAACGTTAAACGATGTTAAAACTCAATCGTAAGAAGTTGGCAAATACTGTATGTAGTATGCCGCTATACGTGGAAGACAGCTTTGTTTACATTTGCCGGTTGTATGCATTACAATGGATTGAATGCATTCACTACATGTTTTTTTGGGAACCTTTTGACCTACATTATGGCTCCCGAGCTCAAAAATCGAATTACGATTACAACATAAGAATGGAACTCTTCAAAAAAAAAAAAAAGTCTTGTTAGTCTTCGAAATAGTCTCCCATGTTTCATCACGGTAGACTGGGACAGTGTCAACACGGCAACGGTAAACAGAATCCGTCATAGACGCACAATATTTGTTTATGTTAGTTTGGCATATTAGCGCTATTAGCATAATTATGGAAAGGAAAAGTTTGTGATTTTATGTGATATCGGTAGGAATTGTTATCAGTTTTTAATGATAACCCTGATTATGCAATTCCTGGAATCACTTTGTACACACAATGCTAATTTGTCAAATGCCTTTAGTTGGATGGATGAACGGATGTATATTAAAGTGAAAGTCACTAGATGGCAGCATTGCCGCTCATTTAATTGATCTCATACTCGTACAGTGGTTTGTACAGATAAATAAATAAATATTATTAGGCCTATATTGGTATCGGTTGATATCGGAATCAGAAATTAAGTGTTAAGCGGATGTCGACGAGAAGCTATTATCGGACATCCTTATTAGTGAGCAAGATAAAGCATTAATACTGAAGATTCCCTTAATAAGGGCTAATAACACAATTATTAACACAGGGACAAGAAAGCAATAGAAAAGACAAGTCGAGGAAGCAACAAGAGGTAAGAACCGAACACCTTGGTGTCACTTTTTCATTTTTTTTTTTTTTCATTATCGGCGTCTTTACATTTTGTGATTCGTTTGTCTACACAGAAAGGAAAACCTGAGGAGGAGGACGACGACGACGATGAGGACAAGGAAAGCGATGACGGCGAAATGATGATGGTTAGTTTCCCCGCTCCATTCAAAGTCGTTTATTACTGCTCGATTCCTGGTGCTAACTCTGAATCTTTCTCCCGCACTTCAGAGTGCTGAGGATGCCATCGCAGCACAGGCCAAGCAGGATGAGGAAGACCCGTACGCTAATCTCAGCAAAAAGGAGAAGAAGAAGAAAAAGAAACAGGTAATCACTTCCTTTTATAAGTAAACGGATTTCTATGTTGTAAACCAACTGGAAATAATTTTTATTTATTTTTTTCCCCTCTTTTCCAGTTGGAGTACGAGCGTCAGGTGGCTAGCGTTCGGGCTCAGAATGCCTTGGAGGGAGATTTCTCAGTTTCCCAGGCAGAGATGTCGTCCAGACAGGCCATGCTGGAAAACGCCTCTGATATTAAGGTTGGGAACGGAAAGTCCAAACTTGTCAATCAAACCTACCTTTTGTTCTAAGATGTCTGGTAAAAATTTTTTTTTTTTACGCCGAATGTGAAGTTAACGTGTTTTCTTTTGGTTTCAGCTGGAAAGGTTCAGCATATCCGCACATGGAAAAGAACTTTTCGTCAACGCTGATCTTCTCATTGTGGCAGGACGAAGATATG